TCTCTTTTCTAGTGGAAGGGGAGAGTTGCGCACGGGTTTAGCTGAGCTCTTAAAATACTGATTACTGCATCTTTAGATAGCTTATTAAAGACATGTTCGTCAAATTAGTTATCGCCATTCTTGTATGGCGATCCAGAACTCCAAGAATACCTGGGACAATGTGATGAAAGGCATAATTGTTGAAGATGAATATGGATGCTGTATTCGATCCTCGGACAACCATGTGACAGTGCATAACTTGTCACTATACCACCCCCTCAGTAGAGCTACATATATTGTTTATTGAAAATGGAGCGTTTATGATTGGATTTCAGGTGATTTCTGCAATTTCCTGTGTCGCATGGGGTCTTGCTGAAATGGACCCCAAAGAATTGCAGTACCAGTGCGGTGGTATACCGGTTTCAACAAAATCTCGAATGGTTTCTATGTATAAGGTCATGTTGCTCGTTGATGCCCTTGATATTATAGCATTCGCACTTTGTTATTACTACAACAGGAGAACTCTCAAGAGCGGGTATGTTTGATTGAACTGTTACTCACGCTTTTTCAAACTTTCACTAAACCAAGTTTTCAGAAGGTACGAACTTTCGGTGCGATATCAAGTTTATGAAAATCTGAGGGCTATACGGATTTTCGTGCCAGTAGTCACTATTCACTTCATTATCTTCGGACTTTTTCTGATGGGCTCTATAATTATACGTGAATTTCGAGGCAGTTTAACGCCGAAAGCCTATGGTATCAGTCTTCTTGCTTTATATGTAAGTTGAGTTATCCATCAAACAACAATTCAAACGTATGAAAGAGTGATGAATTAAAGGGAAGAAAGTTTGTCAGTTTTGATTCCTGCTGCTTTGTACGGTTGTCCCCCTCGAAGAAATATGAACTCTATGAGCTTTCTATGAGCTCTTATTGTCCCGAATGTTTTTTCGATAAAGTACATTTCGGTGCGAATCAATGGCGCAGTTTACGATAAAAATCAAAAAAACTCTGGTTCAGGTGAAATAGTAGAAGCAATGGTACAGGATATTGCAAAAATGTTGAAGAAAGCGCAGAAATCGGTGCTCTCAAGAGTTTTAATACATCCTGAAAACTGGAGAAGTGAGGGTTTACGATCTTTCGACCACTCAGAAGTGCCATGGAAGGGGAAGTGTGACGAGATGCAGTTGTGTGTAATTGCATACAATGTCATCTACAGTATGTAAAAAGTGCCAAAAACGTCGTTGATTGACGCTAAGGATGAGCACTGCATGCATTCAAAATTTCGGAAATGTCATGTTGTTCTCTCCTACTGTTGTCATTCTATTATTCTTTTGTTATGTTGCACAATATTTTACTTTATTTGAACAGCTTTTCGAAGTTTTAACAAGGGTACTTCATTGGTGATGGTTCAGCTTCTGTAAGATTTTTAGAACACGGTCACCTCCAAATGAGGCATACAGTGCATACAATTTATATTACGCTCTTCCTAAGCAGTTTTGGACCCCACAACGGCTCAGTTGCTATTCCTGAGGGTCCCAGATTCATCCTAATGAGTGATATGGGAAACCTTTTTCTACCGTGATCTGTGCCTCTAAACTGACTGTAACCCTAATTTAAGGCGAAGGAGTTGCTAAAAGAGTAGCAAACTGCCATCAAGTTCCGGCTCAATTACTTTCTCATATCATAGGCTATCATGTGATCAAGAAATGCATTTATTGCTGTCTATCAATGATGTCCTTATTTCCAGATCATCCCATATTATATACTCACTATGTGCTCTTTACTTTTCGTGATCCTACGGAAGGAGTCAAATCGAGTCTCAACATTCCAAGCAGCTATCGCTGAAGGCCAGAATGAGAAAGAACAGCAAGCAGAAACGTATTTCCGTTCCCTCCGACATCAATGGGGAACCTAGATCTCACCTCGCTTTAGCAGCTTCACAATCCTCGCAAATCCACACCAACCTCCTGCCAGAAGCAAGAGTCTACGCCACAGGAAGACATAAAGGAACTATTCCCACAAGATTGTGATCTAGTACCGCCTAAGATGATTATTGTTTCAGAGTTGTTAAAGTAATGTTGCTCGTTGATGCTTTTGTGCATATTCACTGATGTTCATATTCCTGAATGTTGTCACCGAACCTCTTCAATGACTGAAAGACAACCGTTCTAACAATCGGTGGAAATTTCGAAGTTTTTTTTGGATCATCAAACCTTCCGCCTCTACTGAAAACAACAACAACAACAACTGAAGAGTACAATGTCATGTGGAGCGTGCATGCAGCATGCACTGTAGGCGCTTTCTTAACCGTATGACTCCGTCTTCAGAGAAGAACAACTGAAGCCACGGTTGTCTTGAAGGTTATTGAAAATAGAACTTCGCGCGATACTGCTGCCATGACGCTATTTATAAAAATGAAGTAAAAAAGTTATACATTAGTGATTCGTTGCAAAGTAGCGCTTCGAGTTCAATTGAAATATTTTATTCTCTGGAAGGGCGCCAAATTTCACCTTCTCTCTGAAAATGCTCTACTTGCAAATCAATACATTGAGATGAAAGTGGCATTAGACGTTAGAAGTGAGAGCGTGTTTTATCCAGCAATTATTGTCAGTTCTTATGTTATCAAATGTTAGATCTGAGTCACAATTCTGGGCTTACCCTTTTCCTCTTCGAAAACTTATCATTAGTCTGCCCCTATTGAAAGTATTGTTGGAGGAGTCGACAGTAGAGTGCTCGGAAATCTGATGAGCCAAAACTACTCGGTATCCTAATAGTAACTTCGTGAAACTTTATCATTCAAGTAGTTCAGCCCTCACTCCTTTTATCTGTCAACTTTGAGTTGTGAAATTGACAAAACATACAGACTGATACATAGTGAAGCCCACCAACAAACATTGGATCTTGTTTTGACTCGATCTTCCATCAAAAATTCAACCGTTAGACAACCAAAGATGACGCTGTGGAGATGTTCTGAGTGATGAGAGCACCATTATCAGATATCTTTATCAGTGGACCCTTTTCTTTACAGAGATCTCATTATTTGAGAATTCCAGGTTACTGGCGGTCGATAAAGTTTTGTTGCGAATGATATCGAGCAGAGAGCACCCTTCATTGAGTCGCTAACCTTGCTAGGTAGCGTTTGTAATCCAATAGCGAGAAATGGGCGAAATTCTCATCTGCTCATCGTAGTGCCTCTGATGGGTCCCCATCGCTGCCCTTATCACTCATTTTTGTCACCCTACTCTACATCCCATCTTATCGAATGAAATATACTGAGCAGTCAAAGCTACATCGTGCCGAAGACGTTAGGGTTTTGATCGGTAGGTGGCCTCTCTTAGGTCCCTTAACTTCTCTTATCACTTATTACCGGTTCCTGTCACCGTGTACCTACGATTCCGTCGTATCCTATATCACTCAATAAAATGCTGAGGTTCCACTGTTAATAAATGTGGTACCACCAAATTTTAATGCTCTAGGTCCACGTAAATAGGAGATATGAATTTGCGGCCCAAGGTTTCTATCGCGCACGCCTCGCCCCCTGTGAGCGAAGTCAGGTCCTGCCACTTACTATAAGTGTTCCCATCCTGCCCCGCACTTCTACCAAGTTCAGACACTCTAGATCCACGGGAACAGGAGTTATGCGCTTCTACGACACACACAACACACAGCGACACAGAATACACAAATACACATACATACACACATACATACATACATACATACA